TTTGCATAGACTGATGGCTTGTTCCCAAACAGACTGGATAGTAATGCCTAGTGGAACAGATTTGATATTCGACCCATGTGATAAAATATTCCAAGTCAGCACAACAGAAAGACATGACATGCTTTTCAGAATGATCAGAGCTCAATAGAAAGACATGATGTTCTTTTAAGAAGGATCAGCACATATTTAACGTTTGCAAGGGCCAAGAAGTGGATGCAGCCAACGGTCAGTATATTACAGCCATCTCACAAGCTGTGCACAGTCTGGGTGTGGAATTTGGGGATGAGGAGAATTTGCACTGCATCAAAGTTACACGGCTTTGTCGAGCATTGCCGGTGCACAACACACATCTTCACATTGGTGAAATGTAGCGCAGCATAGCTCTGTAATCGAAGCAGCATCTGACGGCCAATATTCAGTACAGCCAAGGGCTAATGCTTCCCCAAAACTTCACACTGGATTGGAGGGAGGGTTAATTTGTTTTGCCGATGAGCCTGAGACCTCGATCTGGAAAGACCATATAGAGGGGGGTTGCTAAGGCTATGCCCTTCCCCAGATCCCATGTTCCATGTGAAAGGAGTACTTGTTCTGAGGAGCATTGCTGAAATAGCATAAATCAGGACATGTCTTATCTTTTGATTTTGCTGAGCGTGCCAGCTGACCCTGAAGGAAGGACTGTCCAAGGACTCTGAGAAAGCCTGACGACAGTAAGAATGGTTAAAATCACCATCTCCAATGTTAATTCCTGGTGGTTGGAGCAATGGTAAATTCCGTTCCTGTTAGAACGGCAGATACTAGTTTCAGCAGCCCTCTCTGGCAATCTAACTACTCAGAAATCACTCTGGTTTCTTTTCCTGTAGGGTTAATGTCTCACTTGTTCACGTGCCATTTTCAGAGATGACCATTTGTGTGCAGTGCATCCTTTTACATCAACGGAAGCAGTTATGGGGGAAATGATAAACTCCTTATCCAAGCTTGTTCTTTGAGAAGGATGTAGGGACCCCCTGGAAAGCCACCCTGGTCTTCCTTACATAATTACAATGGTGCCTCGTATTTCAAATGACCCTAAGTTTGAACATTCCGGAGTTCAAATGCTAAAATCGAGATAAAATCGTTCCGAAGTTCCGATGCTTCTAAATTTGAGCTGCATGCACACCGAAAAAAATGTGGTCACTGTGGGAATGTCCTCTGTTGTGAGCCCAAGAGCCTTTTCAGTGCTTGTGCTTTTGATCGTTTTCAGTGCATTGGGTATTGTTTAGGGTCTGGGGGGGGATTAAATCACTTTCGATTATTTCTAATGGGAAAATTGATTCGGACTTTGAATGATTCAGAGTTCAAACGGCCTCCTGAAATGAATTAAGCTCAAAGTACAAGACACCACTGTATTTCAGTGTCAAGGTGCAAACTGAATATTAAATTATTCAATTTTTTCCCAGTTTCCTTTTGATTGTTGTTCTGTGATAGGTTCGTATACATGTATGAATACTAGTATTGTCAAATATTTTTGCGGAACCCTTTGTATCAGGGCAACCCCATGGACTGCCTGGTGGTTTTGTTATTTTAGGAGAAGCTGGAGAAGCGTTTGCCTTCTTTCTATCCTGCATTGTGTTTTTTAACTATTTCCCTCCTACCTCTTGTAGTGGGACTGAAAGTATATAAATCCTCCCTGTCTTTGGGTGCATTTTTGGAGATAGCTTGAAGGCTACAGTGTCATTTTTCCTTGTAATGGCCTGTCCAGCACTGGATTTCAGTGCAGGGATTGGCAGCTCTGGAAGGCAAGGTTGGAAGCAAAGTGCCTGCTGCCATTGGGTGGATTTGCACCTGCTTTTCTGTGCATGTGTACTAGATCGAAAATGCTTGGAAGAGATGTGAAACTCCATACACTGGATGGTCTTTCCTAGTTCCTCCATCACTGCTCTTCTAAGCATCACTCCGCTTCTCATTTCTTGACTGCAGTCTCCATTAGGTGAAGCTTTTCACGGCTCAGTTAAAGACGGAGGAACAGGAGCTGGGAAATATATGGCAGCAATCCTATTTAGGACATATTTAGGTTTTTGATGACTCATCTGTAGCAATCTCCATCCAGAGAGGGTCCTCCTGTGTAATGTGTAGCTCTCCCGAGTATGCCTGTACAAATTTGATCTGACCCAAGACCTTTGATTTTCCAAGGCAAAAGATCCTACTCTCCTCATTTCCAAATACAGAACCCAACTGAACTGTTCCTATTATTACCGCATGTAGCCAAAGCTCTCCGGACAGTTTACAACAAAACTTAAAACAGCAGATAAATCTTCCTTGAATATCGTGGTTGATGCAGCTTCCTGCACTGCCTGGCTAGCTTAGGGCACGCAAGGAAACGATGGGACCAGACTTCCTGTTCCGCACAATCTGTCACTGAGGCGGCTGCCTCATTCTGTCCAATGGTTGGGCTGGAACCGTGCAAAAGGACCAGGCGCATCCTTCATTGCTCCTCGAAGACTCACATGCAGAGCTGTCCTTCCTTTGATCCTCCTCCATCTTCTTGGCCAACCACCAAACTTTGAAGATGCAAAGCTCCTCTGTGCACTTTCTTGTCCGGTATTTCTCCTATATTACATCACGCCAGAGACTTCCTGGCCTGGTCAATGTTACATTCCGGAGTTGTTTTCTGGGAGATGGCCTTTTGGTTGCAGAAAATGTCATTTGGAAATGTTAAAAGCAAAGAGCACGTACACTGAAATGCTAATGGCTCCCTTATCATACTAGTCATCTGAAAACATTGCCTTCTTCTCCCTGCGCACCTTTGCTGTTTGATATAGCAATGACACATCTGGCATGTCTTGGGTTGTTTTGGTTTTTAGTGCATTTGCCAAGTTCTTAAAGGGTTCCTACCCTAAGCCTGACCCTGTACCAAGCAGTGGTTCAGCAAATTGTGGCGATCCTTTAGCGCCACCTACTGAGTAAATAAGCTAATGAAGGTCTAGCATTTGCTTCTGGGCAGTGCAATTTGGCTCCATTGGCTAGCTAGGCATTGCAATGCACGGATCCTGCACCACCATGGGCATTGCTCCTTCAAAACTTTACATGAAATGTTTTGCATGGAAACTGAGTGTTTTGATAACTGCAAGATTAAGTCAGCAATCCTACGCACACTTATTTAAGATTTGCCAAAAGCAATGTATGAGAAAATAGGGGTTGGACATTAAACTGAATACTGTAATTGCATCCTTTAGTCAAAATGTACTAAATCTTAGTGTAACCTTTTAATATACCAAATGTTCATTTTTATACTTGCTAGTTAACCTCTTCAGTTTTAGATTAAGGCAAAGCTGCCTTTCATAACACTTGAATATGTTAAATTGTATCTCTGTATCTCTCACCATCCCCCAGCTTAGTATGACCATGTTGGCTGTGCATGGTGGAAGTTGTAGTCCAATCAAAAGAATATTGCTGCTTCTGTGTGAAAGGTTCTTCTGGTAAACCAACACCGTCACATCTTTTAGGGCAACATCAACCAGCTGGAGAGTTTTGGGCTCATAGGAAGGTAAGTGTTACAGGCCTGATGAGGTATAAGGTTTGTATCAGAAATATCCACTTTCCAAAAAGATGTTTCTTGTTGACAAACCATTCCAGAAGGAAGAGATTTTCAGCATGTCAGCTCCTCCCAGTGACACATTACAGCTGGCTTCCACAACCGGGAGCAACTCTCCTCAGTCCCCTCAAGCATGGTCAATGGATAGCAGTGTTTGGACTGTAGCCTGAAGCATCTGGAGTGCATTGCAGGAACAAAGAAGCCTTCAAGCATAAAGGAAGTCACAAAGGCAAATTAATCAGTAGAGGGACTGCTGGTAACAGCTACCCCCCAACCTGGCACTTTCCAAATGCTCTCGCTGAAACATGCACCTTTCCCACTGGCCATGCTGGCTGGGAACCATGGGAATTCCACCAGGGGGCTTAAGTTGGAAGGTGCCTGGCTGGGCACTTTCACTCATCAGAACTCACCATGCAAATAAGCAATTGGAGACGACCGGCCTCCCCCATTTAACTCCTTGATCTACCTGTGGGTATCCTGAAGATATTCCAAGCATTGTCTCCCCTCACCTGGCCACATTTGTGAGCTGTTCAGCATTCACGGCATATTCCCCCACCCCCGCCCATTGCAAAATGCAATGTCCAGTTTGACAGCCAGTGATAGCCACTTCAGAGTGTCTCAACAATACATTGGAAGGGCTGTCACTGGTTTATCACTTGCCCTCTTTTGTAGGACTCCACCCCCCCATGGACACTTATAAAAAGTTGGATTTGGGAAACAGTATTGCCACACATCTAAAGTACAGTAGAGACCTCTCATGGGCATGGTACCAGAAAGATTGCCAAGAGCATTACTCTTTACTTTGGTTTAGACAGCTGTCAAAAGTTTATCTTGAGTTGTCAAGAGAAACAAAACCTGTGAATGAGCTTGCACAAAGCAGATAGCCAATTGGTCACTGTCTTTATGGTGAGACAAAGCATATTTTGGACCGGACATCCCGTCACTCCATCCTTTGAGACCATGAGTGCTTGGAAGGAGGAAAAATGTGAATTATAACCTCCTAAGGGAGCATGAAGGTTTGACAGCTAGCAGTCAAAACTCAGTTTGAGAAGTTTTATTTGAACAGGGCTCACCATAGTTTTTTGACAGTGTTAAAAGCATATGCCCCTGTCAAGAAACCATACGGAGGCAGCCTAGCATGTGTGACAACTCCTAGTACAAGCCATAGGTTGTTATTCATGAACCAGCCAACCTGTGTGAAAGTTGATGTCTGCGTAAGAAACAACTCACTGTCACTCACAAAGAGTTGTCATAACCAGTTGTTATCATTCTAAACCAACCTTCCACAAGTGCTAAGAAGTTGGGCAGTGAGACGGGGTGATTGGAGTCACAAAATGCAACCACAATCAACCTGATGGAAGAAGCTGATTTTGTACCTTTGCACAAGTCTAAGTCACTGTTATTATTACACTTAAGAAATGGACCATCATTTCTTACAAAAGGGATTTAATAACTTTACATATACAAAAAAGCAACAAATATCATTTATTAATTCTAAATATAAGTCAGATTAGATTGAATGTTTCAAAAATACTTCAAAGAAAGCAAACAATTTACTAAAGCAGTGTCACATTTTGTTTAAATTATACTTAGTCCTTCACTTGCATGGTTCTAATAAAAAATAGCGCTGTGAACCTGCAGTGATGTCACTCATTACTGAAATACAAACTCGTACGTTGAAAAGGCCTTCACATTTTAAATGTCTGCATACACTCAGGTACACCTACCAGTAGTATCAATAATCTGTATCACATATTAAAGAGTAGTTTTGTCTTGCAAGGTTTCCAGCTTAATTTCCCAATAACAGAGACACATTTTGCAAGCAACAGGCTGCTCCACAAACAGAAACCGGCTATTATTTGCTTGTTTTGAAAGAACTCAAGGCTCTTTCTGAGGTCAACAATTCATGGATCTGCAACAGCCCTTGTCTGTAGGCACAGAGAATAGCAGCATGATTCAGCCACCCTTCCTTGCTCTGCACCACTAATCAAAATTCCATCAGTGCCTGCAGTCCGTGCTGAACTTGCTGATACACACCTGAGATAATGACAGTGCTACATGAACCTGCAGGGCTTATCTACACTATAGAAACTGGTTTAACACTCAGTCTTTCCCTCTGTCCATAGGGGACCAGAGTGCCATTCTGTAAGGGTACTGGAAGCAGGAACGATCAGTGCTTTAAAATCTCAAGAATCATTTGGAAATGGTCAATTAAAATGTTAATGATTAAAATACCGTAATAGCACAGGGCACAGAACATAAACCAAAAGGCCTTCATGGGTCAACATTCCTTCTTGGCTTTCATTCCTTCCAATCATGTAAACCAACTGGACAGTAAAGAAAATTAAAGGGCATTAATAATCATCTGCCCAAATTCTCCCTTTGCATAATTCTATCAAAGATTTTCATGCCTAATAGCTGTCTAGCTATGTATTGTGGTTTTGATGATATATAGTGACATGGGTAATGCATTAAAAAGAAATGCATTTTAATATTAACCCCTTAAGTCAGAGTAACATGTGAAGCACACACTGCTCAGTCAACTAAGACATCCATGAATTCCGTGCGAGCAGCTTGCATCGAGTTCTGCTGTTCCTTTGCAGAATGTGAATTCTTAGCCCTTTGGGCTGCAAAATCTCAAGAGCATAACCAAAAGGTACTTTAATACATTCAGTAAGAATAGGACAATTCAAGTACCTTTTCAACCAGAGTACTATAGAATATAATTTAAATTAGAAGGGAAAACACGAAGGTTCTTCAAACTCAATGTTCACATTTCTGCAAGATTCACAGTGCACATTATATGCCGCTTCTGAGGTTTCCTAATAAACCCCTCCTAGCAGCCTTTGTCTGTGCATTTCAAGCATAGAACACAGCCATCAGTTTTACATGTATATAAAAGCAGTACCATGATATGTCAATTTTTTAAAAAATAAAAAATGTTCAAATGGATTTTGAACACTGGAATTATTTATATTATCTCTGACCATTGTCTTCAACCAGCAATAGCTTTCTTAAGTCCAAATCCAGATGAGAAATGTACGAGTAATAATGTGTATGGATCCCTTTTCACACTGCTGATTCTCCAGAGGCCTTGAATCATGACAGCTGACCACAGTCCGTAATGACTATCTTCTTCGACGGCTTTCCGCTCTTTGAGCCGAAGGCTTCAATTTTTTTCACAACATCCATGCCTTCCTTTACGTGGCCAAACACAACATGCTTCCCGTCCAGCCTGCAATAACATAAACCATATATGAAGGTCAAATGCAGAGGTGCAGTAGCAGGAGCGAAGACTTGGTGGATTTGTTTTATTAAAAGAATTTTACAAATCATAGGAAATCACAATTCAGGATCAGACCAGCTAATTAAGGGACATATCTACAGCTTGACTTGATGTCCAAAACTGATGTGCCATTGTCTGCAACCGTCCAACAAACCAGGATTAAAAATCATAGTCTGAAATAAGTTTGCTCATTCAGCTACTGCATCAATTTGCGGATCAGCAACAGCTATTGCTACATCTCTGTTCAGTTCCCTTGCAGCTCAAAATGGGCATGCTGAGCGGATGAAGAACAAAAGCAGAGCAGCAGCTGTAAGCACGGCAGAGGTGTGGGCAACTTGCCACTCGAACCCTTTGCTGTGCTCCTCGCAGAACTCTGCAAGGAGGAGTCCAACATGGTCCAAGGGCGGCCCTACATTTAGTTCTGCCCCACTGCATAAGAACTGTATCAGACCTCTTTCTAGCTGAATGCTCCATTCCCAAAGCTCGCCAGCCAGATATATCTAGAAGTCTACAGGCACTGTGTAAAGACCATCCAGTTTATCTTCAGGGCCTGCATTCAAGTGTAGGCTCCTACTAAACATGGTTGTTCATTTAGTCAAAATTATTATGAGTGGCAGACAGGCCTATTTCTAATGTATTTGTTGCCATTAAACAAGTATCATCATCTTTGCCTGCCTTCAGCGATGCGGGGTCCCATAGGCTGAAGCCCCATGCCAGCAGCAGCAGGTGATCTGCCCACTGCACCCCAAAGAAACAAGACTTTCTAGGACTGCAAGTTGCACAGGCAGCCTTCTAATACTGTGCAGAGGGGAAGAAACAAGTTCCTCTGACTACATCGCTTCAGAGCAGCCTGCCTCAACCTGATGCCCTCCAGAGGCGTTGGACCTAACTCCCATCGCACTCAGCCAGCACGACCATTGTCCATGGAAGCTAGCAACAACAGAGGTTGCAGTCCAACGTGTCTGGAAAGGGATTAACCTGCTTTGCAGACAGTTCCCAGGATGCTTTCAATCTAGAACAAGAGGGGAAAGATTGGGGCAGCAAACCTTTGACAATGCAAATTAACCCTAGAATGTTACTTGAGATGACAGGAGAATAAATGGATCTTCTCAGTTGAGGGGAGGGCAGCCTGTAGCCTTCCAGATGTTTTACTCTACAACTCCCACCAGCAAAGCCAATTGCCAGTTGTTGGGCAGAACATCTGGAGAGACACGGCACCAAACTCTGTTCCATTTTAACAGAAAGGCTTAACACCAGGGCAATGTATGATTTGAAGTCCACAGATATTTGACTAAGCCATTAGTCTTAGACATCTGACTAAGCCAAATACTTCAAACATCACACATTGGAAGGCTTGAATCTCAACAACAGTGTTTGGCTTGATCAACCAAACAGCTAACCTGACAAGTGCTCAGGTCATTCCAGGCAATTTTGTTCCCATGGTCATGATGGGGCGTGTTCGTTCAAGTCACACCAACCCTCAAGTAGCCTGTTTGATTGTGTTTTGATTCACCAAAGGTGACTATGGAGCTGACTTCTGCTAGTTGTTTTCACCAGCAGGCAGAAAAACATGCTGCTGTGAGGGGGCATTTAATTAGTTTTACATTATATTGGAGCATTATGTCAGTTGCTTAACAGGTCTTGCAATTTAACTTGTGTAAGCAATTTCATCTACTTCTGCTTCACTGACTATGCTAAAACCTTTGATTGTGTGGATCACAACAAACTGTGGCAAGTTCTTAAAGAGATGGGAGTACCTGACCATTTTATTTGTCTTTGAGAAACCTATGTGGGTCAAGAAGCAACAGTGAGAACTGGACATGGAACCAGTGATTGGTTCAAAATTGAGAAAGGAGTTTGGCAAGGCTGTATACTGTCACCCTGCCTATTTAACTTACGCAGAGCACATCATGAGAAAGGCAGGGCTGGATGAATCACCAGTTGGAATTAAGATTGCTGGGAGAAATATCAACAACCTCAGATATGCAATGATACCACTCTCATGGCAGAAAGTGAAGAGGAATTAAAGAGCCTCTTGATGTGGGTGAAGGAAGAGAGTGCAAAAGTTTGCTTGAAACTCAGCATTTAGAAAACTGAGATCATGGCATCCGGTCCTCTCACTTCCTGGCAAATAGATGGGGAAGAAATGGAGGTAGTAACAGATTTTATTTTCCTGGGCTCTAAGATCACTGCAGATGGGGACTGCAGCCAAGAAATTAAAAGATGCTTGCTCCTGGGGAGGAAAGCTATGGCAAATCTAGACAGCATACTAAAAAGCAGAGACATCACCCTGCCAACAAAAGTGTGTATAGCCAAGGCTATGGTTTTCCCAGTTGCAATGTATGGCTGTGAAATCTGGACCATAAGGAAGGCTGAGCGCCAAAGGACTGAGGCCTTTGAATTGTGGTGCTGGAGGAGACTCCTGCGAGTCCCCTGGACCGCAAGGCGATCAAACCGGTCAGTCCTAGAGGAGATCAACCCTGACTGCTCTTTAGAAGGCCAGATCCTGAAGATGAAGCTCAAATACTTTGGCCACCTAATGAGAAGGAACGACTCCCTGGAGAAGAGTCTAATGCTGGGAACAGTTGAGGGCAAAAGAAGAAGGGGATGGCAGAGGATGAGGTGGCTAGATGGAGTCACTGAAGCAGTCGGCATGAGCTTAAGTGGACTCTGGGGGATGGTGGAGGACAGGAAGGCCTGGAGGAATGTTGTCCAGGGGTTTGTGATGGGTCGGACACAACTTCGCGACTAACAACAACAACAAAGCTATTTCAGTATTCAATTTTTTTTTAAAAATGATTTTTACAATGTTTTATTGCTATTTACATTGTATTTCACATGCTGTTGTGATCTGCCCAGAGAGCTTCAGCTACTGGGCAGCAAAAAATATAATAAAAAGTGCCTCTTTTCCTTCCTTTATGTTAGGTATGTATGAAAGTTACATGCAGAAAAGTGCAGCTATGTATTCCCCTTCAGCAAGAGTTAACATTGAGGCTTATAAATACTGAAACCTCACCCGAACCCTCTACTCAGTGCTTTGTTCTACAAATACTCGTTTGCCATTCACATTGCAGTTGTCCAAAGAGCTCATATGCAGCAGGGGAGGTTTGGTGCACAAGATGTTCCTCACAACCACCTACTCTTCTGTTTACACTTGAAGCACTTTTCATAAAGAGCAAACATTGCATCCCTAATACAGCCTGTGGCTGCTTTCCTAAAGGAATGGGAACTGCCATCACTACTGTGTTTTACTTAATCAATTATATACAGTTTCTAGAGGTCATCATCACAACCTGTACAATCTCACTGGGTTCCCTTAAGGAAAGAACAAGCTGGGCAATTTACCACCCTCTGAGAAAACCTTGTCAAAGAGCTACTACACGCATATTCCAGAGTGCTTACCAATCCGTTTTGGCTGTGCAAATAAAGAACTGAGATCCATTGGTGTTGGGTCCAGCGTTGGCCATTGAGAGAACACCTGCAATGGCAACAAGAGAGCAATTTAACTTTCCCGTGCCAAAACGAAAAACAAACACCAATTCAGCCTGTTCTTGCACGAAGCCTGAAAGTCTTTGTTTTTTGTCTAGTATTTACAAGAAGGAATGCTAACCCCAGCGAGTTCACAAAACATCCCATTGTGAGCAATGCAAACACTAAAAGATCTAGCATTGTGCTGGAAGAATCAGGCACGGGCTCATGTTTCCCTATAAATTTCCGCAAGTGAGAGCAACCGATTCTACCTCCCTGCCAGGAATTAAAATTTCCCCCCTCCCTTTTCTTTAAGCAAGCTTCAGCACTAGCCTCACTCTCTTGCTTTTGCTGAACAGTTCCAAATTCTGCTTGACAAAAAGACAAGAACACCAGACGGCCTATTCCTCTAAACAAATAGATGTTAACATGCTGATTAGTGTAACTGAGGCAGCATTATGCAACCTGGCAGCATTACCTATGGATCCTTCTGAGGATGAAAGGAGTATATTGTTCTAGACAGGGCTGCCCTATGCTGTCTCTTTCCTTCATTAATTTCCTGCCTAAGGATAAACTCACGAAGTCTTGGCTTTCAGGGTATGTTTATAGTTTTTGCAACACAAGGAAAATGCGACAATTTCACATTCCCCAGCTTTGACAGTGTTTTAATTATGCTTATCTGAGAATTAGGTTGTAATCTAATGAGACAGAGAATCTCTTGGCAAGACTATAATTGCTAATGTCTGACCAGGCTACAAAAAGGGGCAGAAGGAGGGATTAAAAAGGAAGGGAAATAGCACCCAGAACCACCACAGATTGTCTCACAGGGCCCAGGTGCTCCACCTATTTATCTCAAACATGGGCTTTCCATCATAGGTCTTGTAAAGCAGCTTATAGTCACACAGTTTGAATAAAAATACCATAAACAGCTACCAAGACAACTCTTAATTGAAAGAGTGACAACTAACCAAGAATTTGAAGTTTGCCAAAAAGATGGATAAAGTTTTTTTTTAAGCTGCCTTTAAAAATCAGCACTATGGGCCACTGACAGATATGGCTGCAAGAAGCATTCCAATACTTTGTTCGAATAAGTGCCATTCCCATCCCTTCTTTGATCAGCTACTTCACTTCAGAAGAAGAGGCTGTGTGAAGCAGCCACTCAGTCAGAATGTATGGGGACAGTTATATGAAAGGAGATAACCCTGAATATACTCCATCCTTGCAACTCCCTCTGCCCCAGCCAGCACAGCCAGTGGGGAATAAAGCCCACAAGTCGCTTCAGGGGAATGCAAGCCCATGCAGAATGAGTATTACCTTCATCAATATTGTTCCTCGGACTGAAGCTGGACTGGGTCTCTAGCTTTGTCTAAGCTATTATTTATTCTTGTTACTTGCTGAGAGGACTCAACACCAAACCAGGAAAGAAGAAACATACTTCAGTGTCATCTGCAAACTGATGGCATCAAACCCCAGTTTCTCAATGAGTTCACAATCACAGCTACCGTATGATATGTCTCTTCAGTGCTCAGTTTCAGCAGGGGTTGGAGTCACTTGTATTAGGTCCCAAGAATCTCCTTCTGATTTGTGCCGGGCCCTGGGACGATCCTTCTCACAAGCTGGCCTTGTTGCTCATGAGCTTATCACTGAACCAATTTAAGCGAAACAGGCATGGGAATCCAAACTAAGTTTTTCCTTCTCTTTGATTGGAAATACAGAAAGAGATTTGCTTACCGGGTCCAACATGCTTAAGGATGAAGTTTTCATCAGGAAATCGACTGCCATATATCGATTTGCCTCCCGTGCCATTGTGATTAGTAAAGTCACCACCCTGAAAGCAATGCAATGTATCTCTCATCATTACATACATAGAGCAAGGCAGAGCGGTTCAGCTCAAATGAAGTTTATGGACATAAAATAACATCCTGCTGTAGTTAATTTGAAAGGCATCTAAAATTATTATTACTCTACCTGCTAGTAGAGCGGTTGGGAAAATGAGCCATGTGTGACACACTTGTATAAAGGGGAAAATACTGAGACAATGTTTTGTCTTAGTAGCTCTGACAACAACACTGAGCCATACCGTACAGTGATGGTGTCAGAGCTGCTAAGACAATATATGTGAATTAAATTATGATAATTAATTATGATGCTTAAAAGGCAATGGATAAAGTGCTGATTCAGACTAGGAAAATGGGCGAGTAAATTTCATGGCTGAATGTAGATTTGATCACCTTGGGCATTATGGTTATAAATGGCAAACACACATTAGTAGTGAATAGTGTGTGTTTATAAAATCAGGGTTTCCTGCAATGAACACAGAAGCATGACTTGGATTGCAAGGAAACCTTGGGATTTGGTCACGAGTGTACCTGTCGTATGTATTAGCGCCAAAAAACTTTTTTTCACATAAAAAGATGGAGATTTATGTCAATACAATCTGCTGTTTCATGGTCAGAGTCTTGTGAAAAAAGTAACTGAATCTTACCAAAACTAGAAACATGCTCTACTCATAATTCTTATGCAAAACAAAGGTGGGTATTAACAATGACAGGATGGCCAATTGCCATCACTCATTTGCATAATTTTGTTTGCTCCACTGGTAACACATTCTTTAACAATTAGCAAGAATTTGTACAGCCTTTATTTACACAGCTCATTGCAATTAATCCAGCTGCAAGTGGCTTTTTAATCCTGCTTGCTCCTTTTAAGGAAACTAAGCAACACAGCGCTGTTATGGACGTGTGATGCTGTTTCAACAGCCTCAGGTTGTAATGTTCACTTGGAGAAGGCAGTCTCTGAGGGCAGAACTAGGTGTGCAGACATGTGAAAAACATTCCTGTGTCTACCTTTCTATCTCAAGGATTTAGACACTTGTGACATGTGACACTGCTGAATTTTCTTCACGTCCACTCTACGCAACTGCCTGCTGGGGCTGGCAGTGAAGACTCACTCCTCATGTCACACAAGGAGTTTTACAATAGAGTTCAGTGGAATGGTGGATAATATATTTAGTAATAAATCCAGGATGTTCATAAAGGGTATAATCCACTGAAGCTTTATTGCCTCCCTCTTAGCAAAATGGAGAGGGGAAGGAATAAATACTCTTCTTCCAGTAGCCCCTCCATGCCCTGTATATCTGCTCTTGAGGGTTAGGAAACCCTCTGAAAATTTACAAGAGAAAGGAGAAAGAGAAATCACTGAGAGAGTGGACTTTGGCTGATATACCACTTAATGCCACCTATTGTTATCTGAGGTCTTAGTTAACTCTCTTCTGTTGAAAAATTTCAAACTACCACCCTATTCTACAAGTCCATTTGAAGTAACTTTGAGCCCTGGGAAAGATCAAAAGCTCTTATTGAAAAATCACTAAATGCCTCCCTTAGAGATGCTGAAAGCTGTGATTTAGAGTAGCTATCTACAATTGATTCCTCTTTATGTATATAAGTATAGTGGAAAGGTCATCCAGAACTGCTGTTGTGGACTAGCTTGCTTTCCAAGGGAGAGAGACACATTTTCATTTAGGAAAAAAAAATATCCCAAGGTAATACGGGTTATGTATCAAAGCAGGAGCTGGCAACCAGTTGCTCTCCAGATAGTTTTGCGTACAACTCCCATAATCCTTGACTGTTGGCCCAATGCTTATGAAACCTGCAATCAAAAGCATCACGATAGCAACTGGTTGCTTACCCCACTTCGAAGGAAGTGGCACTCAATATAATGCACAATACTGCACACAGTAACTTGGTTATACCTGAACATGCCAGAAAACACACCCTATCATTTAAGAGTATTTAAGTTGACAAGGATCAGTACCTGCAATTGGATCAACCAGCTACACCATGTTGACCTCATGCTTTAGCTGTGGAATGACAGGCTCTTACTATGGCATCAGAATATGAAAGTTACAAGCTTAACTTGTACCTGAACAGAGCTTACTTTCAAGCAAGTGTACTTCAGATCAGGGTGCCTGTTTAACAAGCCTAAAAACACTGTCCCAAGCACAGTAATATATTTTAATATCCTTTAAGCTAAGAACAGCAATGCAAGTATTTCCACTTGACAAATGAGTAGAACAGAAAGAGAAGAGGCAGCAATTAGGAACATTCTTTTGCTTTAAGTGCTGAAACCCCAAAGTGGAGAATTATTTATGGACCGTCTGCTATCAACTTCCCATTGCTACTGCAATGTGTAAGAACTGCTTTCTTTTCAATATTCACATTCAACATGCCTCATGAATGACAACAGACATGCAAGCCCAGCTGAAAAATTAGGTAATTTGTTCCTGACACTAGCCAGGCACCAGTGTAGTTTTCCGAAGAGAGAAAAAAACGAGGTTGTAGAAGAAGCAAAATGATTCCAAAAGGGGAAAATTTCAGGCTTGAGTGGAACATATTTACACACTTTTGCTTCTTATCAGGGCACCTGTATGCAACCCAAACAATAAAGTCAGATGAAATGGTAGTGTGATATATTAGGCTCTGTGAATCAAAGGTCTCTGTCTGCCAAGACATGCAATAAGAGTCCAACTGCACTCAACTAACAGTGTCCCCACTCTGCTGAGCGCCCATGAGCGAGCGGACCACCATGGGAGAGGCACAGCTCCTCCTGCCTGCGCTTCATGCTAAGGCCAGTGGTCCATGCCAGAGCCAGGTAACTTCAACCAATCATGGCTCCAGCTTACTGCCAGTTTTCCTTCAAAAAGATGGCTAGGGCACAGCACCAAGAGATGCTGAGAATTCACTGCCATACAGCAACCTGACCGCTGAAATAACTTTTCAATACAAGTACTGTCCATGCTGGCAACAGTGCTTCTAGAATCATTTCCCCACCACCCCCAGGAAACTGTTGCATACAATTACGAGTCACTTCTGATGCTTTTAAATTTCTTTTTATTGTTTTCTAACCAGACATGCTTTTTCAAAGCTTCAAGGAGCTTAGTAGAACCCCATGGTTTCATTACCTGACACATGAAAGAAGGTATGACCCTATGGAAGGTGGATCCTTTGTATCCAAAACCCTTTTCTCCAGTGCAGAGAGCTCTAAAATTTTCTAGAGGGTGGGAAGAGGAGAAGGCAGCTTTGTTATTAACAGAAAAACTAGGCAAGTGGGAATAATAACTCTGCACATTACAAGAACTGTAAGCACTGATGGTATGTTTCAAAGTTATATTTAGAACTGGTAAGAAAGAAATACTCATACATAGAATTTGCTAGGGGCATTTACCTAGGAGACGCCTCCTGCTCTTCTGGGTTATTGAGATTTGCATATTTGAAATGTATTGGAAAAGGGCTTCAACATTTTAGGTATACAGAAAGCAAACCAATAGCTCCGTAAGTTCCTTCATCGTGAATTTAAACAGAACACTGGAGCTAGTTCCAGGCTGCACTGCTTCAGGTTCCAAGTGGGAGCTCTAAGGACTGAATTTACACAGAATTTGGGGAGTCGGGAAAAACCGCTCTCCAATAAGGCCTCTCCCCAGCATACTAGTTTTTATAGGCATTCAGTTATATAACCCCAAACCACAGCTTGCAACTGTATAGCTTGCGGTTACAATGGTCCACCTCTCTATTCAGGCCTAAGGATGAGATCCCAAAGGGATGGCTATAGGCTTACTATTACAACTTCATCCCCTTCTACTGCAGCCTTTTGCATTCCTCCAAAGGCTGCATTATTGCAACATGGATACATTTACTGATACATGAAATGAAGTTGTAGTTTACTGTTACAACTACAATGCCGACTAAAACATTAAGAAAAAGCATTTCCATTTTCTTCATTTTCTTGCCAACATGATCTAAGGAACCGGAAAATTAAAATTGAGTACTGACAAAAACACTGCCTTACCTGCAGTCTTTGGCACCACATCAGCTTTCAGCTATTAGGAGAGAGAGAGAGAGAAACACTGAGGAAACATTTTACAGCTCAATGTAAGATATATGGTCCGTTCTTTACAACTAAAAAAGCTGCAAAGAGGCATAAAGTTTTAATAGGAAAGTCACATAATAAAACCTGTACTAAATGTAACCTCAAATTATAGTAGATCATTCCTTGGAAAGTAGCAAACCTAACTGTGCCGTTGTCTTCATTCAATTAAACACATTCACTATCTAATTTACTCAACACCTTGTATAAGTCACTTTTAAACTGGGATAATATTTACAAATATACATCCTGAAATGTACAAGGGCCAGCTTTTCCAGGAGCAAATGCAAATCTTTTGGAGTGTCAAGTTACACATACTGAATGGATACCTTCAACTGTACTGACTGGACAAGCAAAATGATTAAATGCTAAGAGAAAACAGTTGCAATAAATAAAGCACATTCTTATTGCTGTGCATTGCAGAGGAAGCCAAAAGACGTCTTAGTTTTGATACTATGTCTATGATGCACATGTTTTCGAACATCTGTTTATGGCATTCACACATTCTATTTTTTAGATGTGTACCTAAAATATTATACTTCATGCGTGAAGTGGTCCTCATACACATTTCAGAATTCTGAAAATTACATGTTCATTTATGGAGGTAGCTTTGTACAATACATTGTATGATATTGTGAGCTTATGGTACTATCTATGAACGGTGACTACCTTATCTTGATGGCACTGGGGTTCCCAAAGATTTCCACAATACTTTTGTGGGATATGATTGTTACCAAGCTGTACATTCACACTATTTGCATCTCTAGTCTCTTAGTTTCATGTGAATGAAAACACAGTTCTTTATTTGTGAAGATCTACAAGCACAACAGTTAGGAAACCTTTAAATTTTGTTTCCTGACAGCCAGAAAAATGACACAATAAGAGAATTTTACTACTTTAACCACATGTAGTGGTTTCATGTCTGAGGTCAGAGGTGGGAAGAAAAGGCATATTTACTTATGACATCGGCATTTCCTATTTGCAGTCATTTAAAGGGCTTACTTTTCCTCTAAATTAAGCTATGGAAAGCAGTAACTGATGTATGAAAGGAGCTACATTCAAGCTTCTGTTTTGGTACCGAAAACAAATTCCTGGACTAACATACAGACACACCTTAATCCATTAATTCTACACTTGTCTTCCTCCACTATCAGTTAGCACCTGCCTCTGGTTGGCAGACCTGAGTTTTAGTGAAAAATGAAGTAGATACTTCAAGACTCAACTCTGTCTGCGCTTGGCTTAGCTCAATTATGCATAGACTGCAAGTGCACATGGCCAAGTTGGGATGATGGAAATGAGTGTTTGTCGCTCCCCTACTGAAGCATCACCATGTATAACTTTTTAACTTTTCTGACCATCCTTGCCTCTGACCTACTTGCTTAGCATCATGTGATGTCGTTCATAAAGCCACACAGTCAACGTGCAATTGTGAGAATTTGTGATGCAAGGTAACATTTCCAGCTTTTGGAAATGAGTCACTTCCAAGAACTGGGAGTGTTATACCTTATGCCATGTACTTACATGTGCAAAGTGCATGCGTGAAGATTACATCAGAATGAATCCTTCATGCCCCAGAGTTTCCTGTATGCGTAATGTGGCACATGTTCGTTACTACCTGACGGCACAGGGATAACCAATTCTGATGTGACAATGGGTTCAATGAAGCCACTTAGGAATTGCCACACTCAAAATCTCGTTGGAAGGCCACCTCTTGTTTTAAATAAGTCTGCCTACCTACACAGGGGTATAAGTCATATCTGGGGTACACTGACAGAACCAGCTCTTGAAAAGCTCCCCTTCCTGTTTATGTGGGTATGATTTGGATCTTCCTGGCTTGGATTCAGTTCAAAGGAAGTCTCAAGAGCATTTTCTACATTGACACAGTGGAGCTTCAAAGGTAAGAACACAGGCCAGAGTTGGCTGCCATGTTTTCCCACTCCCTTTCCATATGTTTCTGTTTTCATCAGGACGAAACCTTCATGCCCGTTTCCTGGATGCATGATGCACGATGTGGCCCTCCCTTTCACAGGGCTGCTGCACCCTGTTTCAACACACCCTTCAGAATGACATCCTACACATTCTTATTAAGGACTGATCTTTCCGCAATATTAGTCAACCTGCACCTGGTGCTGGTTTGCTAGCAAAAAGGAGAAGCATTCTCAAGTCTTCTGTGCATTTTGGTAGCAAGCATAACGCCTTAAGCAGAGAATATCATCCACAACTATGCTATGAAGAGTTGTCCAGTGCTCTCGACCACACACATTTAGGCCATGACCACAGATACCTGTTTTCCTTAAAACATTCCAATGAAACCCTGCTGAAGAGCATCATAAATGGCATGGTGTAGTGATGCCATTACTACAGAACCAGGCAGGCTGGAACTCAAAAGTCCACCCTGTTATGAAGTTCACTGAGTGGCATTAAACCACCTGACATATTTGGTGTAGTTTCCCTGTATCTTGACACTGAACTCACCCGTCCATTGATTCGTTGCCAGTCTCTTATTACTGAGGTAACAAATAATTAAGGATTTCACTTTCAAAGGGAACCCAGGAAATGTTTTACTACTATTCCCATTTGTCAAGGAGTTTGAACAGTTGTAGAAAAAGATGAAATGGATCTACTGTAAAATCAGACCCATTTGTGCCTTTAATCCAACACTAGAAGAGTTGGATAAAATAGTCCAAACAACTATTTTGCCTTTCCTGTCATTTCATAACATCAACTCCCAGTTCACTGTAATTAGACCTTTTCTAGGCCACATACCTACTATACAAGTTATACTGGGAACACAAAATGAAATCTGGGCATCTGCTTCTGAAAACGTGGTGGATTTGGCCAGGTAAACAATTCTGACCCACTCCTTAACATGCCATTATCTGTATCCCTTGTGCACACACACACAGACATTCAAGTCCTAGGAGTTGCACCTTTTCTTCAACTTGCATTAGTACTCTGAAGTTTAGTTAGTTCAGCAGAAAACATCTTATTTGCTTCCATATTCTTTTCCACAGAACCCACACACCTTCCAAGTTAAATATATACACTTTGGGTGAGATTTTGTTGGCCAATAATTTCTCTTGAAATACTGAAGTAGAGAAACCTAAGACAAGAGTCAGGACTCAGTAAAGAGAGCAGTCAGTGAAAAAAAAAAAATCCTTTGCTGTATCTATGGGGCTACTGCTGCAGCTATGTGCTCTCAAGTTACCTGACAGCAGCTCCATCAAGAGTGATTCAAAATGCCCTGTCCTTCACAGCCATGCCCAGCTCTCCTAAGCTCAAGGCTGCGGCTTCCTTTCTGGAATCAATGCGCCTCTTTTTATACCTTCAAGTCTCCTTAGCATTACCTTCTCCATTACTGCCTACTGTTAGAATTCCTTAAAAGGGACATTCCAAAGGATGCAAAGAGGAATCCAAGCACCTTCAGCAACCTTGCTACTATGTCAATTCAAGAAAGCCCCTCAGATTCAAACAGATCTTTTTTTTTTTATGTTGGTGTAGTGCAGGGGTGTCCAACCCACAGCCCAGGATGGCTATGAATGCAACCCAACACAAAACCATAAAATGACTTAAAACTTTGAGATTTTTTTGCAAATTTTTTTGAAACTTGATTGCGCAGTTCTCCAGTGTGTACTTTGTAGATGACAGTGTTGTGTTGCAATGTCATGTAAAATAAACGTACCTATGCTCTCACTATTTGTACGCATGTGTCTCCAGTTTTACAGCTGCGTGTGGCTTCCAATGTGTTATCTTCCAAGCGCACACAGTCCCATTGACACCATCAGACGTTGCATGTGCTCATGGTGACTTGGTGAGTGAAACACAGCTATTATCAATAATATTTCAACCTACCATTGCAAACAATTTTATACATTTCAACATGTTGGCTAAACATAGTCCTGTGGACAGCAAAAAATATGCAGCCCTGCTTTTCAATTTGATACAAGAATTTGAAAACAGATTTCAAGATTTTTGGGAAAATAAGCACTATATTTATCCCTTGCTTCACAATCATGCCTTATTCATGTCTTCACTTTCTGGAAGGATCTACATTTGTGAGTAACTATTTTCAAGAGTGAAGCACAGTAAGAATAAAATTAGAACCAGAAATTCACTGAGAATTGCAACTATTTCCATTGAACCAGATATTGATCCATTAGTTTCTCAAATACAAGGTCAAATATCCCATTAGTTTTGTGTTCCACTCTTTTACTTTTATATTAAAAAATTAAAAAAATCAATGAAGTTTTATTACTTAGAGCTTATTAGTGATCACAAACTTTGGAGAAGCCAAAAGGTTGGACACCCCTGCTCTAGAGTGTAATAATTGATTCTGATTTTCTGGGAACAATCAGTTCCCACAACCCACCCAGTCACTTGAGCTCAATAACTTATTCTTTTTCTTCTACTGAGCACAGAGTCAAACTCAAGTTTAATTCTCTGCAGGTTAGTTTGGAACTAACACAATCTCATGATTTGGTTATCAGAACTTTCATACAAAGACTCTACCCTTACCTTGTGCCAAGTCACTACATGAAAACAAGGACTCCTGCTTAAGAGCTGAACATTATGGAATTTCCTTCCTCCATAGAGTTGTCTGATATCCCAGTCTCTATCCCTCAGAAGCACTATCAAACTTTTCTGATTAGATCTTTAAGCCATCACTTGATGGTTGGAGATAGATGACAGATTTTATTTTGGATTTTATGAACGCTTATGTGTTTAGATTTTCCCATGTCATACATATTCACACATCAAAAGAGGGTGAGGGAGAACCCACCTTTTCATGACCCAGTTCTTATTGGCACAATCACTGACACAGTGAAAGCCAAGGGACCCACTGGAAGTAAGATATTTTACTCCATGCAAGTTAACGACTTGAGTTTAAGACAACTCTGTAAAGGCACCTTGAACACAGGAGTCCATATTCAAGTTCACATTCTTTTGACTCCCAGCTATAACTCCTATTTGTGGCTAAGGTCTGCAGTCACAAACAACACCACAGCCCAATCTATCATTCCTCAGATATAGAAACATAGAAACAGAGCGAGTCAGAAGGGGTCTCCCATGCCATCTAGTCTGACCCCCAGCTCCAGCCATATGCACATGGAAGAAGATGAATGCACATTCACAGCAGTTTTATATCTTAATCAGAAACATAAATGACTGCTAACCTCGGATTGCTAAGCTTTCTTTGAACCTTTAACCCACACTACTCTGCCGCCCCTTCAACTTCTCCTTGACCACCCCTCCAGCTGAAGCAACAAATAATCCCCTATTGCTGCTTCTAGAGGCAGAGAAACATTAGAGAGGGGCGCATCGGAGGTCACCACCCACCTGCAACTGGAAATGTACACTCAGCTACGTCTAAGGCAGAAGTTCAAGAGGTGAGGTTTCCTTAGCTCTATTTGCACAATAGGAAGAATTTCCATCAGCTGAAGAGCTGATGAAAGAGAGAAACAGTAACTCCTCGATGGTTGAAAAGAGGAAGGGCACTCGCCATCCTGTCCCCTCCCCTAAACTACCCTTTTTAACACAAAACCCACCGCCCCCAGGTGGGCTTCCCCAGCCTGGTGCCTGGGGCTGCAACACCCATCAGCCCCAGCCGGCACGGCCACGCCATGGCGGGAAGCTTCCGGGGTGCCCCTGGGCCGGCCACCTCGCAGGGCCGTTGTGCCGCCGCGGGACGGAGCGCGGCAAGGCACCAGGGGTCCCCGCGGGGCGACCGGCCGGCCGGCCGGGGAGCGCGCCGCATGCACGCACCTCCAGCACGACGCGCCCGAGCGGCTGGTTGTCCGCGCCCACGTCCAGGTAGACCAGCGGGTTGTCGGCATCGTCGTCGGCGCCGCGCCGCGGTCCGCTGCAGGCGCGGAGGCCGGCGCGCTCAGCGGCGGCCGGCCGCGGGACGAGCAGGGGCAGCGGGCGCAGCAGGCGGCGGCCCGCGCTGAGCGCCAGCATGGCTGCTGCCGGCGAGGCGACGGGAGGGCGGGCGGGCAGCGGCGACCTTCCACGCGGTCCTGGCCGGGGGTGGGGCGGGCGGGCGGGCGTGCGCGGCCACGCGTGCGTCTCGACGTCGGCGGCACTGCTCTGGAGCGCCCCGCGGCGCGCGCGCCCTTTTGAAGCGCGGGCGCAGCGCGCCTCTGCAGCGCCCCCAGCGGCGAGCGCGGGCGCCACAGTCTTCCCGCGGCAGGTCCCCGCTCCGTGGGGCGCCGGCAGGCGGCTTCCGCGAGCCCGGCCCAGTTGCTCGCCTCGCCCCCGAGGGTGCCTCGTGTCTCCTGGCAGTCCTCGCGCCTGCTTTTGCTTTCGGCTGGACGCCCACCTTGCTGGGCACCTGTTCTTGCTTCTCCGTGCCCTTGCCTTGCCCTCTTGCCCTGCCCTGCCCTGCCTGCTGGCAGCTCAGCGCAGCCTGCCTCCGCTCCTCCCCTCCACCCTCTACTCGCTACCCCTTGGCAGTGTCTGGTCCTTGGCCATCCTTGTCCTCACCTTTGCTTCTGCACCTCCAGCGCCTTGTCTGCATCTGTGCACGCTCAGCCCTGTTCGGCTTTCGTCCTTGGATGCGCCGTACTTTGTCAGACGGCCGACCGTGCGTTTTCCTGACTTTGCCCTCCTGCGTGCCGTGCAGACCTCCAGCCACCCCGTCACTGCAGCTGCCCCAGCCCGGACCTGAGAAAGGGCACCTAGGGGCTGGAGCAAACCCACTGTGAGGAACAATTGCAGCAGCTGGGATTGTGTAGCCTAGGAGACAAGCAAGCGTGTCATGACAGAGGTGTGGAGACAGTGGCCAGGGAAGCACTTCCTTCCTTCTAGGCTCTGGGGTCATCCCACAAGGCTGCCTGGTGGGCGATTTAGAAGAGATCGAAGGAAGCATTTCCCGCAGCACATAATTAAAACATGGAATTCATTTGTATGAGATGTAGTGATGGCCCCCAACCTGGAGGTCTTTAAAGGGGGACTGGACAAAATGGTGGATGACGTTATCAATGGCTACTATTCCTGATGCCTTTATGCTACCTCCAGTATGAGAGGCAGTTCCTCTGTACCCCAATTGCTGGAGCACTTGGGCAGGAGGTGGAAACAGAATTGGGTTTTGCAAAGGCATGAATGGTATAATGAAATAAGGAATATGGTAATTAATGATAAACTGACAAAAGAAATAAAAATTTAAAAAAGATTAATGAAAGCAAATGAATATAATGAAATTTGGGAAGATTTTGTAAAAGCAATACTGACAGAAGGCAAAGGCTGTAAATCCAATCAAGATTATATGAATTTCTGGAGGGGATATGGGTATAATTGAAGTATATTATATATTATTAATTGTTATAGTATGTGTATGATGGTAGTATTGGTCTCCAGGGTGGTGGGTGCACTCTTTCATTTATTCTTTTTCTAATTATTGTGTTCTTGTTATGTTATATTATTATTGTTGTGATTTTTTTTTCTGTCTAAAATAAAAAATAAAAAAGGGAGGGGGAAAGAGAACTTGGGCAGGAGAGTCCTGCAGCACTCAAATTCTGATTGTGAGATCCTATGGGATGCCAGTTTGTCAGAGTGCTGGACCAGTTGAACCCTTGGTGATCCAGGTGGCTGTTCTTACATTCTTAACTTTAATTTGAGGAACTCTGTGCATTTGAACATTATGCTTCCAATAGTAAAGTTCATTGATCCATTATTTCTTTTCCACCTTTCTCCCATGGTCGAACTCAGGATGGCTGCATGCGATTCCTGGGCGGTCTCCCCTCCAAGCTCAGGACAGCTCCAGCCCTGCTGAGCTTCAACATGGAGAATGCCTTGTGTGCCTTCAGACTATACTGAATTTTAATTAATTAATTACATTTGAATAAAATCAGAAGGATGCGTAATTCTAAATAATTGTTCTGAGATGCAAGGTACATTTCTGGATCCTTTTCAGTCCAGCTTCAGACCCGGGTACAGTACTGAATCTGCCTTGGTCGCCCTGTACGACGACCTGTGCAGGGAGAAGGACAGGGGGAGTACATCCCTGTTGGTTCTTCTGGACCTCTCAGAGGCTTTCGATACCATCGACCATGGTATCCTTCTGGATAGACTTGCGGGATTGGGGGTTGGAGGCACTGCTTTGCAGTGGTTCCGCTCCTATCTCAACGGTCGATTCCAGAAGGTAGTGCTGGGGGACCATGTCTCTACGTCATGGCAGCTATGCCATGGGGTACCACAGGGCTCCATTCTATCCCCTCTGCTATTTAACATCTATATGAAACCGCTGGGAGAGGTCATCAGGAGGTGTGGGCTGCGGAATCATCAATACGCTGATGATACCCAGCTTTACCTCTCATTCTCCACTAATCCAGGTGAGGCAGTGGCTGTGCTGAACCGGAGCTTGGCCGAGGTAAGGGAATGGATGAGGGCCAATAAATTGAAACTCAACCCAGACAAGACAGAGGTCCTGTTGGTTGGCGGATCGGGTTTCGGAGAGGGTGGATTTGACCTGGTCCTGAATGGTGCAACACTCCCTCTTAGGGATAAGGTCCGCAGCTTAGGAGTACTCCTCGACCCGGAGCTTTCTTTGGAAGCTCAGGTGACAGCGGTAGCAAGGAACGCCTTCCTTCAGCTTCGGCTGATTAATCAGCTGCGCCCCTACCTGGAGTACGACTGCCTGGCGACGGTGACACACGCACTGGTGACTTCCCGCCTAGACTTCTGTAACGCGCTTTACGTGGGGCTTCCCCTGAAGACAGTCCGAACACTTCAATTGGTGCAAAATAGAGCTGCCAGGTTGCTGACGGGGACGGGGCGTTATGCTCACATGACTCCAGTCCTCCGTCAGCTTCACTGGCTTCCCATTGAAGCCCGGGCCCAATTCAAGGTGTTGATTATGACCTATAAAGCCCTAAACGGCTTGGGTCCTGGCTACCTGAACGAGCGCTTATGTCCGTATATGCCCGACCGCCCTTTGAGATCTGCAGGAGAGTCCCTTCTCCAGGAATCCTCCATGAAAGAAATTAGGAGAGTAAGTACCCGGAGGAGGGCTTTCTCCGCGGTGGCGCCCAACCTATGGAATTCACTCCCCAAAGAGGTCCGCCTGGTTCCGTTGTTACTGGTTTTTCGGCGCCAGGTAAAGACCTTTTTATTTAAACATCATTTCAATTGTTAAAACATATGATCTAGCCAGGGCAACTTCTTCTTCCTTCTCTTTCTCCTCCTATATTTTTATTTTATACTGATAATTCTAATTTTATATTTGTAAATCAATGTATTTTTTGTATTTTTGTATTTAATGGTAATTTATTATGTACTATTGTATTTCAATGTATTTTATCATGTTGTAAGCCGCCCCGAGGTTTCGGCAAGGGGCGGCATAGAAATGTTATAACAACAACAACAACAACAACAACAACAATAATAATAATAATAATAATTTCTACTGCAGTGTTTCCAAAAGCCATTTTCTTCCCTTATCTCCAAAATTCATGTCCCCAGCTGGTAAGGGCAGGGCATACACAGAACCTGCTTTCTGTCCGCAGATCCCTTTCCAGATCAAGTTATCCTATGAATGGATGCTGTGCAGGCCTAAAAAGATCTAGCCTGGCTCAGCCCGGCAAGCACAGTATCCCTTACCAGGCAGAGACTTTGCTTTTACTCATTGAAGTGAATTGCTTTTTGTGAGGTGTACGTATTTTGGGGAGGTAACATCAGCACCCCATTCCACCTGACCATATGAAAGGTCCCTATGGAAGTTTCATGGGGAAAAACCTGGTGAGCAGCCCTCCCGTTTTCCTATGTACTGGATGAAGGAACACACAGTCAATGGCAGAGAGTTCTAAAACATCACGTGGATATATGGTTGCAGTTCTTAAGTATGTAAGAGCTGGAACAGATCATGATCTGTTGCGAAGGAGGTGCTATAAATAGAAACAAGTGATGGAGTCAGACCTGTCTGTCTCTCTGTGACTCCGCCGGCTGTGATCTCATACATTTCCAGAGTACTTCACAAGGTATTCAAGGTGCCACAACTCTTTCATAATGCTTCCGTGATTCCTGTACCTTCCTGTATAATGGTTTAGAAATGCGCTACTTAGCAGTACTTTATTGTGCTCTATTTTGATGAGCCATCTTATGTTGACATATAATGGAAAGTTTAGTTTCTGGTTAAGTGGTGGCAAGTAGTATCTGGGCCGATGTTACACATGCTTAAGATTTGTGGCAGCTCCTGATACAGAGAGAGAGTTTGAAAATGGGTAGAAATATGTGCATTCCGTATATCAGGAAGGGGAGTTGTGACTACCTGCTAGGAAGGTCCCAGGGACTTTTCTGCCAGTGGATTTTATGCTTGTATCTAACCCACCAAATACGAGTAGGAAGACACAACTTCAGAAGTGGTCTATTCAAAATGCTTCTAACCAGTTGGGTCATGATTACCATTGCTATTTTAAAGATATTTTAAAGGCCACTTTTGGTTCCTTGTTCCGACATTACTATCCTATGTATAGAACTTCTGGAGAATACTTCGAGGTTAGTTCTCTTGAGATGAGGGCAAACTGGTGACCCAGAATATATTCAGATATAAACATGCATTCTATTTTATCAAGAGACCTGGGAATAATGAGCTTCCTTCTTCTGATGCAGCTGTGGACTGGAATCTTAGGTACTATTTTGAGCTAACTGTAGTTTAAGCGTATGTCCAAACTGGAGCAAACGTCTCCTGTTGGGCAAGTTAGAAGGGGCAGCAAGCAAACCAAAGGCTTGCTTACATTACAAAATCGTGTAAAACAAAGTCAATTGCTGTGTCTTCATAATATCTGTTTTATTTACAAATGCAGAAGCAGAGCATTTTGTAGGCATATTGTTTACGCAAGTTAAGAATGCTCATTCCTCAAATAGTATCTGAGATTGATTAAACTTTCTTAACCTGAAGATTCATCAGCTGAGTCTTTCCCAGATGAATAAAACCTTTATAGCTTTCCCTTCAGAACAGGCTTTCTTATACTCCCCCTGCCCCCCCACCA